AGCTTTTAATTAAATGAATGGAATGCAAATGTGATGTTTTGTGCTACATGAAAAGCTCACACTACAATATACAGCCTTCTTCTTGTAACTGTGTACATATATATGCACACATCTACACACATACATATAATTGACACATAACACCAATGGTAACAAAACAAGCCAAAATTATCCTCAATAATAACGTTGTAACTACTGATTTCTCCATCAATTATCTTAGATGAAATTTCTGGGCTGATGTGTGGGAGTTACCACTTGCCATAACAGTATTTCCTTCTTTTCAGAAAGCCATAGCTTATCTTCCCTCATAAAACAGTTCTTGAAGATGCTATATGTTTGGTCAATAATATTTATCTTCAGGTTTTCTTCTTCATTTATATTTGAAACAGATATTGGTAAAATAAAAAAGTACCTAACTGTGAATAGACTTTGTACCATCCATTTATTGATATCTAAGATACCAACATTGTTTTCTCTCTGCCAACAAAAGAATGAGATGCAGAGATACATTTCAAGTATATTTATGACTATTTACAGAAGAAAAAAAAGCAGTATAATAAGCTTTTTACTATTTCATTTCTATTAAAAGGACTCATGAATTATGAAAATGCAAATCAATGCACGAACAAGTGAAAAAATAACATCTGCACACTCTCCTACAGAGATTAAGGTCTATATTGCTCTGTAATTCTACACACTAGTGCAAAAACTGCCATTAATGTGACTCTTAGATTATGAACAACTGGAAAAATATCCTTTTGTACTTACCATTAGTGATTACTTGAAAGTCTATATGACTTTTACTTAGCGGAAAATGAGACAAGCACTGCTTCTTTGAGAAGAAATCAACAACAAATCCCACAGTACTGTAACATTCACAAGAAAATAAAAGCATTAAAAGGCTTACCAGGGCCTCTGATTTGATAGTTGGCCTGACCATAAGGTTTGGGTCAGGATGAAGCATGACTGGTTTAGAGATTATTGGTACCCCTGGATGTCGTTGGGTAGGTGGACTTGGAGCAAATTGCTATGGGGTTAATTTAAGATAATTACAATTTACAGCATAATTTATTATAAACCATAATTTCACCAAATACTCCAACATAGTTTACGGCAATGAATTTAATGATGCTAATAGAGCAAAAGTCTTACACAAATATTTTAAATGAAATACTGTCAAAGTTAACAAATGAAAGCACAATTTCTCTTAAATACCAACTACAACTTTTTCCCTTAACTTTTGGCTTCACCAGCAAGATTATGGAAAATAATCTCATCTCTGCTTTTGGCATTCATCCCATTAAAGCAATGAACTGAATGAGAAACCACAGAAAAAATGCTAAAATCGAATGCAAGAAGATAGAGAACTTAAAATGAAATTTTAACCGACTGGTGGCTAAATGGATTTACACAAGATGAAATTCAATAGGACTGTAGTGATTACCTTTCCACATAAATAACTTCAAGATAACTCAGAGTCAAGAACAAAGATTAGCTATGCTAACTACTCTACAAAGTACAGATGTCCAGAAGCATTTGAAATTTAATCATGCAGCATGTACTAGCTATGTGACTGATTCCACACTTTTTACTCAGTCAAAACTCCTACTGACGTCAAGTGTAGCTGTGCTCAAGTAAAAAGTTCAAAACTGAGCCCTGTGGGTTTAGTTTGACTTAACCCCAGCATCTCTCAGGACAGTCTTGTCAATGTTTCTCATCAGAAACATGGTCTATTCCAGATATTATTCACATGGTACATGCTGTATCTTCTAAAATTATTTGAATTGCTTCCAGTAAATTGTTTTATTTATTTATTTAAAGCATTTTTGGAACCAGTTCTTTGAAAGTCCCTCAATCCATGTAGACATCCCTCAATTAATGTTGCTTCCACTCCATAAAATATATTATTACTTTCTGGTTTCAGAAGAGAGAGAAAGTTTACAGATTAACTTTGTTAAAGTCACACTGGAACTGAATAATTTCTCCTGGAGTTGCGCAACATGGAGAGTGCCTCAGAATGGGGAAAACTGACATCCGGTCATCCTAAATTAAAATCAGTGCAAACACTGATGAAATAAATGCAGTTGTTCTCATGAAAAAGAAAAAAAGAGCTCACTTTGTAGCATGTAGCCATGATGTTTAACATACAGCTCAGTCCCAGCTCTTTGTCTTAGCAGAAAAGCACTCTCATGTGGTCAGCAGTGTAGAGACTTTGCATGGAACACACAAACTTTGACTGTATATGGTTGAAAGTTTGAAATATGAAATCTTCAGACCATTACAAGTCACTATCACTACCTGGCATTAGGTATCTTGTAACAGGATATAGACATATGACGGCAAGTGCCAAATTTGAAATAAATCAGCCATGCAGAGTGAGACCCTTAACCTTTCCTTTATGTTACCATTACATGGGAAACTCATAAAACTACATTCATTATTAACAACACATGACATACCAGCGGGCTGCTTGACACGGCAGACACTTTGCCAACGTGGGAGGTGTTTCTTACAACCTAAACAGTAGCAGACTTAGTACTGGGTTCAGGTAAAAATATACAGTTGCTAATAATCTTATGAAAGAGATCCTTTTATACGAGGTGTTTTAATAGCTAGTTGCCAAGAACATACTTGACAGGAAATTTCGTTCTTTTTGTCAGGTATTTGTTAAGAGCTGAATTTGAAATACAATGATCCTGAGGGAAAAATAGCACCAAAGAAAAGATTTACAGTTTTGAATAAAATGAGAAAAATATTCTTAGTGGACAACACGAAGTCTTCCTTAATTTTTGCTTTGGTTGGCGTAAATGCAAGATGTTTCATTATTGAAATCAAACAAAATGTTTTTGTTTTACTTGCAGCATTTTTTAAGATGAGGCAAGGAGAAGCTGTCCACCTTCTGATTTTACTATCATGTCTGATGCCCCATTAGCAATACTAGGTTACTGATAATACTGCTTATAAACAAAGCAGCTCTAGTTCAGTATTAGTAGTTTATTAAGAGCTTAGTTATTTCCTTGTATACACAGCTAATTATATTCAGTGAGAACTAGCCTACCATTACTGAAGGCTAGGTAATTTTTGTTGTTCTTGCCAGCTGTGTTTTTCTTTAATTACTGACCTTTTGCTCAAAGACATCTGGCAGTGAATAATTACCAGAAACACATATTGGAATATGTGAGTTTGAGGTTAGATCCAGTTTAGAAGCTCCTGTGTTACCTTTAAAAATCAGACCCTTAGCATTAGATGCACACGCACTTATTTGTGGACAACAAGGGACCTTTGTTATCCATAAGAACGTGCGACATCTCCATTTCAATGGATCTAGCATATTCTTGGCACTTCAAACTTGTAACCCACATAAGAGGAAGCACTGTAAGAAGATAATAATGAAATATATGTAGTTTGCATTAAGGCAATTATTCACATAATCTGCCGGTTTCCCCCAAGAAGTGATAAACTTGCATATCCTTTCTCACTTCAACCAAAATCACGCAAAAGCAGAAATCTAGTATTTCCAAGTAAAAATGCAAGAAAAAAAAACAAGCAAACAACACACACAACAGTGCAATCGATAAATCCATGCAGGAAAAACAACATGTAGGAAAGACGTGACAATACAGGACCCTCTTTTGCTTTGATAGAAACAATAATATTTTGGTACACAAATTGGAGTACAGAAATCCCATCACAGCGCAAGAGAAAGTGCAATGCAGCAGCTGCCATTTCTCTCCTAGAATGAGACCTGGCACAAGATTTCTTACATATGTGATCCTCTTTTAGACTGAGATTGTAATAAAGTTGGAATATTCTTAAGAAGAAATCTCTAGCTCTTTTGTGTCAGTAAAAAGTCAGCAAACCTGATTTACAGAAAGATCACCAACTCTTGTTCATTTAAAATTGCTTTACTGATAATTTATGCTATGTTGAGGTTTTAAAAGTTGGGTCTTCTGATTTCAAGCTAATTCTCTTCTTCCAATCTTTGCAGCTAACAAACAAACCTGATAAAATTTTAAAGACTTTCAGAGCAGTGATTTTCACTACACAGATATTTTTTCTCAAACTTGAATTAAATTTGCTGCCTGACATTTTCTTTTTTAAACACATCCAAATATCTTTTTAACTATTACATTCTGCCCAACATATTTGCACGTGATGGGTCTGCAACACATGCAGGAAGGAGAGAGCAAAGCCCTCTAGGCTTAAATTTCAAGAATAAATAATGAAACAACCTCTGGACTGCATTCACGGACTATCAAACGACAGAAACACTTCATTTATTTTAATGTTACAAATAGTAGACTGGCTGATCCAATAGATGAAGTGGGTAATGGAACCAGGGAGGGAGGCCAAGCAGGGGAATGGTAGAGGCACGTGCATCCAAACAGATAATGAGGTCACCTGGGAAGCTGGTGATACTGTTAGGACTGGACCTTTGGATAGTGGAACATTCAATACAGGAAGTGGATGAGCTGATGATATCGGAGTAACAGTAAGTGGTGGTGGTGGTGGTGGAAGTGGTGCCACATGTTTCTCAACTTCATCTAAGTTTATATCATCAAGATCTGTGGTATGAAGCTGTAAGCCACCAGCAAACCGCCTCACCGATGTGGCAGAGGAAGAAGTGGCAGGACGTCCACTTGCCAACTATGCATGAGAAAACAAAAATCTGCCTTACTAGTTAATATCCTCAACAGCTCTAATGAAATTAATGGCAAATCCTGCACCACCACCCAACCTAACTGCCCCTGCTCTGAAAACTCCTGGATTCTTGCACACAGAATATCCATGAAGTGTTTCTATGGAAGCTTTTTTACATATCAAAGAAAAGCAACTTAAGGCATCCCTGAAGTTTCAAGACATTAAAAAAAAAAAAAAAAAAAAAACGGAGGAGAAAACAATTTGCAGCAGATCATAATGATGAAGGGGGAAGTAAAAGCAAACAGCTATCAAAACAAAACAGCTTTGGGTTCCATGAAATCCAAGTCTTCAGGAAGCTCTGGACTTTATAATTTCTATTGATCAACACATGACTTGCAAATTCCACAATTTGAACAGAATAAGCCACTCACCTCGCAGAAACTTAAGAGAAAGCATTTACAAGTATAAAGAAAGATTGCATATGTGCTGTTACAGTTACTAACGTTTTGTTTAGACATTGATCAGTGGTATGATTTAAGCAGGTAAGAAACTCCAGTTGATAGATGCAACTTAGGAAATATTAAAGAGAGATAAGCTGTTCTACAGATGCATGCATCTTAGCCTAATCTGACACCATTTTCCCCAAATGGATTTCTGTTGACGTTGAGATCTCATGTGGCATAATCACTTTTTGGTACTAAAAAAACACACACATTTCTTCCCAAGTAAAATAGATGTTGGTTGCTCTTGTACCCAAGCAGGAGTTCAGGCCTGTAGTACTTGAATACAGTTCAGCTGCATCTATTCCTCAGAAGCATTCTATCTTTACATATTATATGAGTGTAACTGCTTGAGTAGTTTTGTAGAAGTTCTACAATAGGCTAATTATACATAATGTAGAAGAATTGGTAGCGCAAATACAGAATATTTGTCTCAAATGAGAGTAGAGCTCTGCAACAGTGACTTTAGCCCATAATGTGCCAACTTTACTTTCCAAAAAGAGGGACCAAAATCCAGTAGAAAGCCGAAGAAAAACTTAGCGTAATCATTCCACCATTCTGGAGACCTGCACTAAAGAACAAAGTGGATCCAAACCTATGAGTAGGAAGAATAGAAGACCAGCTGTTTTTTTCAGGGGTGCTGCATATTGACCCTTAGAAAATTTGACTCAGAGGGTTCCCCAAGGGTCCCTTTGTGGTTGTGTGGTTACAATTGCTTGGAGTCCCAGGGGAATTCAGTAGATTGCAGTGTTCCTCCTGAAAGCAGCTGTGCTTGGAAGAAAGCCACACAGCAGGATGGTGGGAAAGCCTCTCTCCACACAGAGAGGCACGTAGCTAAGGCACAATCACTCTCTGCAACTTTTCTTCATCTGAGAGGACTACTTAAAATAAAGGATCTGATTATTTGGGAGGTTTTTTCTTTTGTCAGTCTCTTAATGTCACTTAGTTAGTTGCAATTAGTACTTGAATTGTGATTACAATTCAAGCAGGCATTAAAGAAATGATTAGTGATGTTATTATTTGTGTAGAATATTAAAAAAAAATACAGCTGGATATTCTACTCTCACTTAGTAAATTTTATTGGCAGCATGTTCTACCTATCCCAAAGAGTGCTCATGAACCAATTAAGTTATTTTGTAGCAATAGCATACTGAAATGTACAAACCAGAAACACTAGCATTGACCTTTAACAGATGACATCATCTCTATGAACTACAGAAACATCAAATGCTATAGAATCATAGAGTCATTAAAGTTGGAAAAGACCTCTAAGATCATCTAGTCTAACCATCAGATTTACATTGCCATTCACCAACTGCTGACAGTTTTCCTCTTCTTTCCTTTTTCCTTTATTAGGATGAAGGCTGAGAAGGAAAGAACAAGACAGTTTTTTTTTTTTTCTCTATTACATCTGGTAAAAGCGGTTGTTCTTAGGAGAAAACCAGTGAGTAATTTTGAGATCGTGCAGCATATAGAAAAACTAGCATTTTACCTCAGGAGATTCATTTTCCACAGAGGAAATCTGTTCTAACCGTGTCTGACAAAGTCTTTCCACCCAATGCTGCACTTTTTCTGATTCTTCCAGATCTTCACGTTCTGTTTCAGATACCTTAAGCATATCACCAGTGTATTAAAAAAAAAGATCGGAGATATGGTTACAGTACAAAGGCTTCAAACTTAGGATATGCCATTTAGATTAGTTTTACAACTTGCTGTGCTTTTGAGAATGACTTCCTATTCTGCTGTCTTCCATTAAACTCACCACTAAATGTGGACGCTAGAAATGCAGTTTTTGCCTCATTTGAACAAAAATTGACGGTAGCAACAATCGAATTTGGAAACAGAGGTTTGTAGTGAAATGTAATTCATTTTTAAACTTTGTTATCTTTCACAATTAAACAAGTGCCCAATTCAGGTAATTCCACTGAAAATTCACCTCATTTTTCTCAAATGCAATTTTTCACCTGATAGAAGAATACAACATACCTCCTGCACAAGACGATTTATTTTCAGTTGTTTTTCTTTCTCCAGCATTCCTTCTTTCTCTTTGGCAAGTCTTTGCTCAAATTCCATTTCCTTCTTATTCTTCTTCTGTTCACAAAAACTGTCACTTTTTGACTTCTTTCTCTCCTTTCCTTTCTGGGAATTATTATTATATTTAAGCTAGAATTTTACATAAACTAAAAATATGGCAAACTTCAAGCTCAGTACATGAGTGCCTGCCTTGAAAACTGAAGTATAGTGCAAGTGTGGAATCAGTCTTTCAGGCATAATTTTTAACTGCATTTCCTCAGCAATTTGCTAGAAATTCAACCTCTTTTGGACTGCCTGTGCACAGCCATTTAGCTTAGAGAAGATCTGAGAGTTCAGCGTATAGAAGATTTGAGAGTTCAGCTTACTTCTCTGCAAAGCTACAACTGTAGAGCCGATAGGTCCATTACAAAACTTCAAATAGTCAAACAGTTTTGATTAGTTCTCTTTAGTTAGTTTGGTTTGGTTAGTTATTATCTCAATTTTTTTTTTACATCAGTAGGAGACTGACTGCTTTCAGACACTCGTGTACACATAGATGCGAACGTTTTGCTTAAAAAAACAAAAAGAAATGCTTCATACTTCATACATCGTAAACACACCATTGCATGCCTTAATACAAACGAGCATCTTTAAAGGAGAGGTTTAGATCAACAGAGGAACTAAACTGCTCTCGGGAAAGAATTCCAGATTGTGAAGACCAGTCCCTACCACCAGCAGCAAAAATCAGCTTTTGTGTGAAATAATACTGTACGTAATAATTCTAAAATGTTGAATGCACAATGCAACCAAAGGGCAAGATTTCTTCATAGTCTTTTAGCCCATGATCCTGTTGGATGAGTTCAGTGGTAAGTTGACTACTGCTCTGCAGTTAAGTGTAGCTACTGTTGGAAAACCAACCATTTTTAGAGATAAAAAAGAAAACCACAGAACAATCTTAAGTCAAACAGCTAGCTTCTCATGTTTTAATAACATTCTGTTGGCATGTTTTATGCAGAGCTAGTTAGTTTAGTTACAATTTTTGATAAAATTTTACCCTCTAATAAATTAGAAGATACTACATTTCATAGATAGCACTTAATGTATCTGGAAGGTGGTAGTCAACCCACCAGCTCTCAACATTTGAAAAATTACTAAACCTAAAGGCACGCTAAGCAGTATGCATGCCAAAGAGTTTCAAAATATCAACATCAGAGACAATCTTAGCTGCATTTATTGCTTTCAGATACAACAAGACGAGTCATCTCTTCTGTCCTTTTCCCCATGGATTCAGTTAATTTCCTATTAAAGATATTTTAAGTACAGAGTGAAATTTTGTTTTTAGTGCACACGCAGGAAATCCATTTGCAATTTTCAGTAGGAAGAAAATTTACCGTTTGAATATTTAAAAGTATTTCTAAAAGTAAAAGGTTAAGGTACTTTCAAGTTTTAGTCCACATTGTGTAGCAGAGTTCAACAAGAACTGAGCTGAATCTTTATTAATATATGAGAAGGTATTTGGAGACTCTATAAATTATCTCGGTCAGCAGCCATAGCAAAAATCCTCTATTTGTGTGAAGAGGCTGAATTTTCATAATGTATTTATCTTTGTCAGATGATCCTAACCATACTGGATTTTATGTGTTTCAGATCGAAGATGATTTACAGTCACTAGCAATAAGAAATGGCATCAGAGTACACTGTCATTTTCTTATTCTTGTTAAGATCAAAACCCCTGGCATTTCTTACCCTCCTAGAAGGTTAAAAAAAACAGTCATAAATGATGATTCAAATACTTCCTCTGTCCTTCTCAGAAATTTTGAGTTCTTTGAAGAGAGATCTATGAGCCCTCTTTGACGGTTTGTCCTACCCCAGTAAATTACTATCAGCCATCATAAGAAACAAACAACACAGAAACCTATGATATAACTAAGATATATTGAAAGAAATAAAGAGAACAAAGCAATATCAGGAATAAAGTACTACTTGGAACTGCAGTAATGTCTTAGATGTGACTCTACAGATTTAAGAAGTATTCCATCATACTTAAAGATTTTCTGGTACTTTTCCTCTCTGTGTGTGATTTACACAAGCCTTTTGCCTTCAGCACTCTCAATGGGAGATCTGCACAAGTTTAACTGGAAATGGCACACATGACTTCCATTGAATTTTTGCATCTTCAAAAACTTTTATTATTTATGGATTTATTATTTTGAGGACTTTTTGATCTGTGCTGAACAGCTTCTGCAAAGTAAACACTCAATTCTCACTGCAGCTGGCAGGTTTTGAGAAGTTCTAAGTGTTCAAAAGAGTGCATTCATAGGCAGATATATCTGAAAAGCATCTAAATTTCTACGTGTTAAAGAGAAGAAAGAAGAGGAATTAAAATTCAAATGCACAGCAAACAAGCTCACTTATCACACTTTGTACCTTACGGATTGTGGGAAATTTTCCTTCATACCGATAAAACCATCCAAAAGCTACAAAAAGGTAAAGGAAAAGATGTTGTTTTAAGAAGAGTTGATGTCTAGTTCAGATTGATCCCTGTTGATACATATAACTGGTTAAAATTTATTTGGAGGCACAACGAATGTTCAATATTATACAACAAGTACTTAAACCACTTGTTCATTAATTGTGCTAGCACATTTAGTCACAAATATCCCTTATTTTGCTGATACACATTTTGTATTAAGCTGATACACATTTTGTATTAAGCAAAGCAAATGCAACAATTAACTATTATACAGAACCATACAGCCATATGCATTGCTGAGATTTCTGTAGTCCAAGTCCTACTTTACACAAACCATAACAAGTAATCAAATTATTTCAAGCTTGCAGAACGCATTGGTGCTTAGGATGACAAGAAAAGCTGTTTCCCACAGTGAACTATGCACATGCAGATGCATAAACATTCAAAAAAAAGTGGAGTAAAATCAGACAAAATAATATAGTATAATAATTGTACATAATAAACACTGACAAAACACAGAGTTCTCAGTATAATCCATGTTTCTGTAGGATTGACATGTTTTGTATTCTTGTCGAAGTATCTTTAGAAAGCAGTGACAACAGCAGTATCATAACCTTTCATCATACCAAAGGACAACATATATTGCTCTAGCAAAATCAGATCATAGCTCAGTGTCAAGACTGACTGTCAGAAGGAAGAGAAACATAGGAAGGATCTGAATCAGGATAGGAAGTTAAGGCTGGATGGCAAACCTGTTTGTCCTGCTTCATGATCACTTCATCCATGTCATCTGTTTCAAGTTGGTCATGTGCAACTCCCTCTAAATCTACTAGAGAAACAAAGGAGGAAGGGAATGAGGAGACAGAAAGTCAACTGGAGATTCCCATGAAAAAAAGAGACCAGCAATGGGTGACTAGTAGTTTTCTTGAAATAAAAAGAATTAGCAATGAGGTACCTTGCCTCAAAAAAAAAAAAAAAAAAAAAAAAATTGTAGTCCTGCTCAGATCAAATCAGATTCTAACCTCCTCTAACTTCAGAAAGCAGTTAGAATTTACACATGGCCAATTAGTCTGCTCTGCAATAAAGATAAATGTGCAGGTGGCTTCTCCTATTAAGCCATCAGAAGTCCTGAGATGTCTGGCTTCAGAAACAGATAATGGCCTTCTGTTGCACTGCCAGTATGGCAAACACTGTACAGGGATAACACTGTCCAGAAGAGTCAGAAAACTAAATGGATGAAACATTTTCCCCAGCTCAGTTTCTTACCCATGGAAAGAAAACTGACTTGCCCACTCATGAAAAAAATAATGTGAGTTCAGAAATGACCCAGGTTTCCCTTAAATTTTGCAATACCTGCTCCATAAGCATTTCCCACTACTTACTTTGTCTAAAACCGTTTTAGTACACTCTCTGGTCATCATCTATAGCTTCCAACTTCGCTTCTTAACTGCAAATTAAGCTCCATGCGCCTTAAATTCCCTTGGACAACTTAACACCTCAATGTAATTCCTCACTGAAAAGTTGCAGTGTACAAAAAAAAAACAACACTCCCTCAATCTCTCAAATAATTTTGATGCAGACTTGCAGAGTTGTTGCAACAGATGAAAAAAAGATACAAAAAGGAGGGCTGGGAAGGAAATAGAAGATTAACAACAGGATCCATGAAGAAAGGTGACAACAAGATGGGAACAGAAAAAGAGGAAAAAAAAGCAGGATTTCTTTCTCCCACTAACAGATGGTCTATTAAAGATGTTAACACATCTGCTACACATACTAGCTCACAGACAAATGCACAGATTTCTCAAATGCTTACAAGTATCCTGGCTTCCCAAAGGATTAGGTCACTGGGAATTGGAAATTCTGATTTCTTTAGTGGATGCTTACGTCCATACAAGCTCTTAGCATGCATCACAGACAGATACAACAATTTTTGTATGAACTCCAAACATTGTTATGCCATTATTTCATTTTCAACATAGTAATCAAAAAAGCTCAAAGTCCAGAAGATGATATATTAAATAATTCAGCCTTAAAATGAATAAAGGAGGTCTGAAAGTCATAACAGTAAGAAGTTGATTTGTTAAAAAAGAGTGGGAAAACCACTTAAGATGTGTTTGATTTTTTTCATTTATCCAGTGCTCTACTGTCATCATGCAGTAATAGCTTCTGTTGTAGTCACATTGATTATATTAAAGTGCTTACTCAATTGTTTACTTAAAGGTTATAACTAAATATTGACCCATACAACACGACTTGTAGTTCAGTACAAGAAGTGAGAATTATTATTTTTTTTTTCAGGCAATAGGAAACACATGGCCTCATGCTGAGTGAGAATGGGAGATGCTAAGAATGGGCTCAGTCACTTCCTCCTTGTAAAAGAGAAGTGAGGAAGCTGTAAGACATCCCAGTGGTTCCCAAGTCTGCCAAAATAAAAGATAATCAGGTTCTGGTGAAAAGAGGACAGAAAAGATATCTAGAATTTTATGAAAGTTAAACATTGCATTCATTTCTTTCAAGCCAAAAGTAGCACAAGACAAAATACAGAAAATACACAAAACTGTTATCTCCATCCTTCATAATACTTCAATTAAGTAATTAACATAATTCTTCAATTAAGAGTGAGGGAGGAAAAAAAAGCATTAGAAGGAGCACAACAAAGAACATTCAGTCACTCCAACTCAAACTGCAAATCTTGTATTAGTTTTGTGTTTTCAAAGTTTACCTCCCAACGCCTCTCACTAAATTTAAAAAAAGAAGCTAAATTACGTAGTGCTATGAGTAATATATTAAGTCAGAACTATTCCCAAATGAGAAAAAAGAACAGAAACATTTATCTCTTATCCCTTCTTCATACCTTCCTTTTCAGAAGTAACAAACCTATGACTTCTTACAAATGGAAGAAAACTATAACTTACTATAAGTGACATCATCTTCAGTGAAGTAAATACTCTTTTATGTATGTAATTCAGCATGTTATGTTATGTGCATTATGTGTACATTATGTTATGTACACATTATGTACATGTACATTATATATATGTACCATCATATATATAAAAAATATAAACACACCATTTTCTTTTGGACATATAATGGAAACCGCATGTCCACTTTTTCAAGAACACCTCCATTAGAAGTTTGACAAATGAAACTCAAAAACAACAAGGAATGCAATGTATCTGAACCCCAAATTAAAGAGATTGTATCTCAAGCAGTGATTTCTTAGTTAACTGATTTTATTCTTCCCTGCAGCTGATTGTAAAAAAAAACCCATGATTGTTTGAGTAGTTGTAGCATCTGTGAGCTGGGTACCTCCTAAGAACCATTAAATACAATTTTCATGTGCTCCCAGTCTTCTGAAAATCACAAACTGATCATTAACCCAGCTTAGACATACAATATATTCCATACAACTTGATGTGTCTGAAACAAAAAAGTTACCAAGGAATCAGACCAAAATCAATTACTTACTTTTGTGTTTAGAACGAGGAGCAGAGTGCACTTCTGCAGTTACAGTTTTCAGAGGTTTGGGAGGCTCTTTAGGCCCCCAGTCTTCTTCCCACTCCCTTTTAAATTTCTCTTCCTCTGCTGTTATCCTATGTGGAAATAAAATGCAGCTATGAATACAAAGTATAAAAATAACAACACAGACATAAATTCATTAGAATTGTTTACTCTGTAGTACATCTTGGTGTGTTTGTTTTCCATTAATGCATCATAAAATGCCTCTTGCACCAAACCAAAATCCTTTCAGTGATTTAAGAGTCATTTTTTGAAGAACCTAATGACTTCTTTCTGATTTGCTGGAAATACGTTCAAACACTAAATGAGAATTTACTTACACACTCCAACATTACAGATGGGAAAAAAAGCTATTTTAATGTTATCTATTATCAATGGCTATTAGGATAACTTGGAAAATCTATGTAAAATACTCTGATTTTCATATTAAGTTAAGATGTATATATACAGATATATAAACAAATTCACAAATTTTAAGCCAAGAGGAATCCACAACAACACTACCACCTTAATTGAAATCGCCTGTTTCTTCTTAATTGAAGAACTGTTTCTCATTTTTTTTCCACTTCAAAATTTGAAGTATGTATTAGAAAAATAGCATTTCAACTAAAATATGGAGTGTAGAAGTATCTACAACATGCCTAGAGTCAAAAGTTTCAGATGTAAATTTTTAATTGGATCTTACTTCTATTTTGATGATTGCTTCCTAAAGACATAGTTCTAGGCTACACTAAAAAAATGACTCATTTGGCAATGAAATATAAACCTTGTTGAGGCACAAAACACATTAAAGTCAGCATTTTAGATAAACAGTCACACCGCAGGAAAAAGCAGTTCATAAAACAAGGAAAAAAAGTAGAAAGGCACCACCATAATAAATGGACACTTCGAAAGAAAATTCTGAAAATCCCACGTCACAACAGTACTATCACATAACCTAATAACTCGTAGCTTCATATACAATACCTTTAAGTGGCCTAAGATCTATTCTTGGCTCCAGCCTATCTTGAACTGATAAACTGACAAACGGCGCCAAAATTTACCAGATCTTATATGATACTATTTGCACTTGGATTTTCTTGTGGATCCCAAATTAAGCTAAGATAAATTTAAAACATATCCACGTGGCCAAAGCACTATTTAACCTGCACTGAAAGTCAGTACTTAAAATTGGAAGCACAGTCAGCAGCAAGGCACATTGAAAATAATGTTTAAACTTGTTATATTTAATAAAAAAAAAAAATCTATGGTGTTACAATGTAACTTGAAGTATACTGAGAATTGATGACCTCTGTCATTTAGGCATATCTGATTTTTTTTTTCTTAAAATTTATGTTTTCCATCTCTTCAGCCATTCTTCCATTTCTTTCTTGACCAATTTCGTTGCAACATTCATTTCTTCCTTTCCATTAAAATTAAACACCAGAAACAGAATAATCAAGTTCTGAGACACCATTTCTTTTATCTGGTGTTCTGTACATACCTGTTCGACTCATACCTTATAACATAGTTTTAAAAAAGAACATTCAACTTCATTCAACTTGAAGTTTACATTATTTATTATCAAGATAACATTTGTGTTTTCCAGGTGCTGCTTTTCAGTTTCCCATTTTGCAACTCTCTGGTGCTCTTATTGAGATCCATGGGATACTACACTTCATTAAATATACAATTTTATTAGAAAAGAATGTTTTTGGCCAGATCTAATACATAACAATCCTGGTTTTTTGTTTTTTTTCCCCCCTTCTTTTTCCAGGCAGCATATTGCCTCTGTAGTCTGTTACTTACTGCTCAATTTCTCTGCGATATCTCTCTTCTTCCTCTGCAGCCTTCTGGGAAATTTCCATTTTTCTTCTGTAACAGGAATTAGGACACCGTGATAAAAATAGTATTTTCTGAGTAAGAACTTGCACAAAATGTGTCAGCATATAATTACTGAAATATATGGTCAGCAAATACATACACATAGGGAAAGAATTTTCTTTTTTTTTTTTTTTTAATAAAGTCTTTAAGATACCAAGGGTTCAACGTACTTTTGTTCGAACCTTGAGGACATTCATGACCATATGATAGCAAGGACACATTATCTATTTAACTCTAACTCTCTATCTCCTTCTGAGACAGTACTATAGGGTGTTATTCCAAGAGCACAAATTTGTTACCATCCTACGAAAAATCATAGAGAAGGGAATGGCATCAAGAAAATGCCCAATACTCCAAGCATTGGGAGTATGACAGCTGAGGAACAAAGTAACCCTTTAACTCAGTACACCTATTTGAATGATGCTGGTTTTGAAAACCCAAAACATCGGTGCAATAAGGATTCATTATTAGAGACTCCATAAGATCAAGTTCAGCTGGGAATCTTCTTACAGTTATTCCTGTCTTATTTGCCCTCTTCAAATCTAAGCTAAAATTTTTCAGACCCTCCTGGACAGATTCCTTACAATCTCTCTTTCTCTTGCTGCTCTTTGATGATTTTGTTAGTCTCCAGTGCCAGTCGCTTCTGATGCATTAACTCCTGGCGTTCCTGCTCACGAAGATGTGCTTCTCTCTGCCTCTCTTCTTCAGTCATGAATAGTTCCTTTCCCTGCAACCAGCACCCCAACACAAATCAGTCACTAGAGAGTCTCACAAATGCAATTTTCCTAGGAAATAATTCAGAACTGCTTACATAACACATAAGTACATTTGCCATTACTTCCCATTACTTTCAGTCAAGAATGCTTTGTGAAAGACAAGAAGATCGGGCACTTCACTCCAAAGAAATACTCCAGTTTTGGAGTAATGTATGATGTGCATATGCACATATGCAACTACTTCGCAGCAGTAGTGCATTTGTCATGCCCAACTCACACTCAATACATCCCACAGAATGTGAACAAGGCATCAAAAGAATCCAATAGTGAAGACAATCACACAGTAATCATCTTTTAACGTTCTTGCGCCTATCTGCTATAGAATACCATAAAGCAAGGTATGTAGTTTGTAAGAGGTTATATTAGATGATGTGTTTCAGCTGGTTTTAGTCCTATTTTATTTGCTTTACAGATAAGAATCCAGAAAATACTACTCAAGAAAGGTGTATCAGTGGTTCTGATTGTGGAATGCGTTGAAAATATTTAGTTATTACTGAAATATAAATAACATTAATTATCAATGCATGAGTTTTCAAAATTCTGTGGTTTTAAAGCTCATAAACAAAAATAGGCATTGAAGAATGCCTTTGTGACATGGTCTTTATTTAACCAGAAAAGAGGATTAAAGCAACAAAGTTTATCTATTGCAATTTCTTATTTGGTACAGAAACATGTCCCAAAGAAACGAGAAAAAAATGAGGTGAAGTACAGTGGAGCTGAAGAGTTCCACAGCAAAAATTTTAATGAGGCCAATGGCACACACTTTTTCTAACAGCTTGTAGCATCTCTTGGAACTGAAATCCTTTGGATGTTCATTAGGAGATGATTAATCAGCTAGCCTGGAGCATTTCTTTAAACAATTTTATCATGCCTTTGAACAATTGTCTCTTCCAGTAAGAGTTGTTTAATTAAAATATGGATTCCTTCATACAGATAAACAGCATGCAACAACCCTTATGAGATAGTCCAAATGATTTATTAAACCTTGTTTCTATTTAATTCAGTTGTGAGGTAATTATAAAGTGTCTTCTTTGATTAGTCTACTGAACTTAAGAATGCTGTTGTATAAACCTGCGCATTTTACTGTCAGGATTAAAGCAGAAAAAGTATTGAAATACTATTTGAAAGCCACACTGAAATCAGCAGAAATTAATTTCAGCTGACTTTAGATCAGGACCCAAAGGCATATTGTTCTGTTGTACAAACAATGAAAATTAAAAATTGAACAGTTTTCAATGTGTTGAATAAACACAATAAAGAGAAGAGATCTAACAGTTGTACAAGGAATACATTAACTATTCAGGAGAAAACGTTAATTGACTCAAACTTTCAGTAGAAGAAGCTATCTGTCAAAACACAAGCTCTAAAATCAGAAAAAATCATTACCATAAAATTAATTCCCAGTCCTTGCAAGTGAACAGTATTGTCCTGACACACTTCACATGAACAATACACATTCCTGGCACTGTTGTATTTGAGCATACTGTGGATAGTTGGAAATAATAAGAAGCCACTCCAAATGGCTTCAGTTCGACCAAATTTGGAAGTAAAAACATCGTAATGAAATGCAGCTTTGTTTCTTATTTATTTTTACTATTTATTTGTGCACACAGTAATTTTCACAAACACTGTGCTTCTGTAAACATACTACTTACAGCGCCTGCCACTACAGAGATAGTCAAAGTACGGCTACTTTTGAGCACTCTGACAGCCTGCAAAATAAAACAAAATAAAATTTATCCTGCATTTAGTGGTAAACATGCTGTGCACATACGATGAAAAGCAGCTAAGAGAATCAGACAGAAGCTTAAAAAACAAAACAAAACAAAACAAAAAAAACACCTGACAATTACATATTAATGGAATTAAGTAGTTTTAATCCTACCTCTTTATGATCCACATTCGAAAAGTCCACCCCATTCACCTCAACAATCTGATCACCAACCTAAAGGAGTAAATCCAAATCTTAGTACAGATTCTGTACTAATACACATACTAACTGGAATGAGAGACTGTCAAACATTCTCAATATAATAATTACATGTACTGGCAGAATATTCACAAGGGGAAATCAGCCAAGCATGCAAGTTCTCCCACCGGCATTTCCAATTGCCACTATTTGAGATGGAATTTTGAGTTAGGTGGACTGTTGTTCTGACCCACACATTTTGAAAGGCAGGGAACTTTTTTGACTGGAAATCTAACCACACAGTATTTCTTTCCCATAGAAAAAAATAACAGCTAACATCTCTACAGTGATCCGGAATCCCTGAAGAAATAAATGCCAAACAAGATTTCTTTGTAGTACCAACACTGTAAAATGGTATACTTACCTCTAAGCCCACTTCTGCTGAAAGAGAACCCGGCTTCACATTACTGACAAAAATGCCTGGTTTTTGTGTTGGACCACTGGAAATACTGGTGGAAGATTAAAAAAATAAATTGTAAAAATAATAATTATAGACTGATACAGAAGCAATCAACAAGTCTTGTTTTCTTCTTTCTCATTGAGAAAGTATTTTTATGGTGTAGATTACTCTGAAACAAGCACTGGACTTTGCAAGTACAGAGAATACTTTTCTATCTTTCTTGCCACAAAATCATACTCAAAAGAACAACATCAAAAGAAAAGTATTCAGGCTTCTGGAGATTGCTTTGGATGCTGAAGCTAACAGAGTACATGGTCCTAACGCTAAGGGACTGAGGGCGCTTATGGTATTGAAAAGTCAGCATGTAAAGCAGTGAAGAGTTTAATAACTGCTTGCATAATTATTTGTTGAACTATAGTATACTGTGTACATGTATAACAGTATTATTGTTCAGGATTGTTTACCAAAAACAAAAAGGATATTACAATCAGGGTCCAACATCTAGCGTTGAAAATCCAACCTGCAATCCATGCTGGCCCTCAAGACAACAGTCATTTCTGTTAATAATACGTCCTGCAGGTGATGTCAAATCACCCTTCCAGGTTTTGTAAATATATTTAAAACTTTTTATCTTCCTAACAATATTAAAGAAAAATTATTCTTTTGAAAATATTCTGTGCAGGCAAATCTTGCTAATCTCAGCTGCTACACACTGCAACATGCAAAGAAAACCTACAATTTCTCTTCTACCTCAAAATCTTCACAACTAGATGAAAGGATACAAGTCTGAGAAGAATTTGCTCATATTTCAAAAAATGCTAGATATTCAAAATTAATATTAGGAAACCACTGCCTCTTAGTTCAGAAAAATGTCACAGAAAGTAGTCTTGGTGAGTCAATTTGACAGTAGACAATGCTAAAACCTACTATATTACAGAGCAGCATTTCAAAATATTGAAAAATTTAGAAATTTGAAAGCATTTAAAAGATCTAGTTCCACAACACATCTTTTGTGATGTTACTATCATCTTCCTTTGATTTTTAAATTGAGATTTTTTAAAAATTTTAAGTCAGAACCTGAGACGCAGTTACTTATATTTGTCTAATAATATATACATGACACAGATGCCCTCCTTTTCCTGTCAAGTTTTCTTGGTCCTCTGTGGTTCTTTATGTTCTACGTATCACCTCAATGAACGAAGGAACAAACTGCCCTGGATGTTTCATTTAACAAGCCGTGGACCCACCTGCATCCCATGCCTTTTGTGCCGATTAAGCTAATGAAGACTTTCTTCTCTTTACTGTCTCTTCCTCCTGAAGAAGCAAGACCAGCCACACTGCCCTTTCCTTCCTAGAGAGAGATTTAAAAACTGCAGGCATTACTCTGTGTTGAATGAAGTTGTACGAAGACCAAAAGCTAAGAACAAAGTCTGGCAATACCAAATTAAGATTCCTCCATGGATCAATTAAAAGTGTATATGAATTACAGTAGTGCAGTGTGACTGATGTGAAAGATGAACATCTATTCAGAGAAAATTGTTTCAATAATCCAGCTTTTTCTCCAGACAAGGATGAAGGAAAATTAGAGGAAAGTGATACGGCAAAATAATAATTTAGATGTCCCCTAACAAAAAAAGCTTGAAAAAAGACTTGATAATGCTCACTACTTAACGTAATTTTTCTTCCTGAAAGACAAATTAGATAATTGTGGTATTTCTCCACATGTCTACAATTCACTTGCATTCACGTTGTCATTCCTCCACCAATATAAGAAAGATACATCAAATCATCTGTTAAATATTTATACAGCTAAAGAATGGCCTGGTCAAATAAAATAAGGTACCAATCAGTGAGTAAAAGTTATTACACTTGTATCTGGCCCTTTCCTTATCTAGTGATTCTAGAATCATTTCATATCACAAAAGATGTTTTTTCCCAAACACATGTAATAAGATACGGCATCTAAAAAAATAAATACAAAGACTTCTGTGATAAGTTTCAAGGAGAAAATGATTCAGAACAATTACAGACTTCACAGAAAACAGCATAATTCATCTCTTACCCCAGAATCTGACACAAACTGATCCACATATTGCCATTTAAGGGGTTCATCTGCTGAACTGAAAGGAAAGAGTGATTAAAAATGACAGTGAAAAAAGAACATGAATGTGTTCAAAAAGCTGTTTTGAAATGAGGCATTCTGTTTTGCATCCACTCATTCCTTAGGATACCATTCATTATAACTTGTATGTTTTGCTCAGCTATTTAAACAGAATATCAAGCAAGCATAAAATTATTTAGACTAGTAAAGTATTCAATTACTTCAGTGAGTAAAGCTGGCCAAATTTAAAACTGAGTAATCCTCTTCAACTGAAACAATAATGAGAAACTCCAGGAATAGCAAGGAAAATAATCATAAAAACTTAGTTTATATAAATGTCTATGCTGATGCACACTTCATCAACATTTGTCAGATGTTCCACTTACAATGTCAAACTGTCAACAAATTGGATGAGGACAATAGTTTGATCTTTTTCTAAGCTCTAAAGCAATTCTTGAATGCCATATACATGCAGAAGTAGTAAAGCTCCTTATTAAGCAAGATGTGTTGAGAATAAAATTTTCAGGAAGCAACAACTATTAACAAAGAAATCAGAATTTGTTCATTTAAGAAAGCAGCCATATAATAAGTCAGACCTGTGTAACAAGATAACACACTAGACAAGCCATTTTAACTAGCTATAGAGATGCATGGCACAAATTTTCAAGCATACAGATAAACAAGAGTGATACCTTGAGTACTGAAAGGGCTGTGTGAAAATTAAGTATTATTACCTTTTGACTGGTATCATTCCAACATCTGAAAAGGAGAAATGCTGTGTTAAGTAACATTTTCTACTGGTCGCTGCTTATCTATTAACAACCTTTAGTAACAGAGGTGATTTTTGATGCCACTTACGTCTCACTTTTATGGACACTATTTTCTTTGTGCGAATGAGGTTTATGACTTCCTCGTGCGTGCATGATGAGATGGAATATCCATTTATACGAACTATCTCATCCCCAACCTAAACAAATGAAAGATAAAAGGAAAACGTGAATTAAAGTAAAAGTTTCTAAGAAATGATGTAATCGACAATAATTACAATGCAGGAGTTTGATAATGTTCTGTTCAGTACTTTAGGGATTTCAGGTAAACACTGGATGAAATTTACTTGTACTTGCTTGAACTTAATATTCAAAACCAATAGCATAGATTAATGGCCAGAATAACAGTTTTAGAAATAATATACAATGGAATGCATGAAGATGAGCCAGACTTCTGCCTCACAATTTATCTTAAGTTCAGGTGTCCATTTTCCAGTTCAAACAATTTTTGAGTGATGATTCTTTATGTTTTAATAGGCTAAATTAGTTTTTATCACATGTTCTTTGAGATACCTTTTCAACTATTTTGGTCATTAGGACATAAAACTTGGTCTTATCCAGTTGTCTGATTCTAGATTCAGAATACTATGTTATTTTAATGAATTTAGCTCAATTTCAGATGCAATATCTTATTGGCTATAAGAGTCATACACTAGCATAATGGAAGTTTATTCTGGGCTGCGGTAGCTCAAACCTTCTTGGATTATGTACACTAGTTACAAAAGAGTACATTATTCATCTGACATCCTTTCATGAGTCTCAAAGCAGCAACCCATTGTTTTTCATACACTGTGGCTGGGGAGATGGTACTGCCACACTACTGCCCCAACTCTGTTGTTGTAAAACACAAAAAAAATAAGCGGGACACTTGGAACAGAACCATACAAGAACTCTCCCACCAAACGGAAGACAAATTATTATTTTATTCCCAAGGCTACTCTGCATGCATGCGATACATATTTGGGCTACATGGACGACAGAGAGCACGATCAGCTACAGAACAGACCAAGAACAAGCAACCTGAATTGCAGCAGGAACAAAACTAAGGTTATTCCCAAGGCAAATTCAGCTGAAGAAAGCTCAAGTGAAACCAGAATTAGCTGTATCAATAGCTCATGTTTATTTAGTGATAAAACGACACTGCACCACTGCAAAGCTTTCATTTAAAAAGGCCTCCTCTCCTTTAATTCACATCCATGCATATTATTTGACAACTTTGTCTCCCCCATGGAGACTTTCCAGCTTTACTGTTCTAGGACAGAAGATAACACCACCAACCTTAGTCACAACAAGAAAGTGATCTACTGCGGCTAGTTTAAATCATGAAGTGTTTCCACTGTTTTTTCCATCATACAATTTTGATGGGAGTATCTGTGCCTGAAAAGGCTTTTAAAAAGTGAAGAAGTCACAGTTCAGACCACTGAAGAGTAGCTTCTTTGTACCTTGCTGACAATTTTAAGGCAAAGATGGAGACAGATAGAAATTCCTGCTGTGGCTCTGCACACTCTATCAGTTCTATTTAGCTCTATCTAAATCCTACCATTTACTTTGCCACGTTCATGGGAGAGGAAGACAACGAACAGGAAGCAGGAATTCTTCAGTATGGCTTGTGTCTTGTACACCAACTTGTTTGATGGGATATTAGACATGCCATCATCCACCATCTCTACCTTTATTCATATGGAATAAATATCATATTTTCCAACTGTGCTCTGTTCAAGTGGAACAAAGGAAAAATAAAACCCACAGTCTACTTTTTCAATTCTTTCCCAAACTTTTCTACTTTTTCTGGGAAGTGTCATATGATGCATAGCAGTATGCAAAATACTACATACATAGTAGTATACGAAACCTCCCCCTCGTGCCAAAATATCTCTTGAAGCACAGACTCCACTGCACTTCAATATGTTTAGCTAACACAGTATAACTTCAAAAGACCACCAAAGTGGAGGAGGAAAAAATAAACAAAAAGCAATCTACGACTCCTGAATTAGAGAATATTTTGCAGAGGCACATGATGACCGTAGTCCACAGCGGGTGGAACTGCTGCCCCACCTGCTGGACACTCAAAATCATACAATCAGAATCGTGTAACTATAGAATAGCCTGGGCTGGAGGGGATCTTAAAGATCATCCAATTCCAACATCCTGCAATGGGCAGGCTGCCACCCACCAGTCCAAGCTGCCCAGGGCCTTATCCAGCCTGGCCTGTTCTTTCATGAACAGAGTGGTCAACACTGGACTACCTAGGAATCGTCAGACAGGGCAATGACCCACGTGCAATTCTCAGCACTCCTGGAGCTTAACTTTTTTCATTTAAGCCAGTAAGATCTTCAGAAAGAAGGGAGTTAACTCTGCACTGAAGGCTTTTGAACATACAATCTATGATAAAAATCAGAGCATCTGAGAAAGAAAAGCACACCACATCTGCAATGTAGTGTCACACCTCTTATTGCTCTATTTATGCGAGAGACACTTCTCTTAACTGTCTTGTTGCAAATGTTCAAAGCCACATCCATTCACTCATTCTTAACTGACAGCTATTGCCTTTCCTCTGAAAATCCACTGTGAAACTCTAAGACAGTTCCCTGCCCCAAAAACTAAGAGAGAATATAATCTAGATCTGTTTCACTGCCCTCCACACTTCAGAAAATCCATTGTAAGAAAAACATTTTTAAGACCAGGCTTCTCATTGGCAATGGTTGTACTGCCAAGAAAAAAACAAGCTGTGACTAAACTCAGACTCTTGTGGCTTTGTGCACAGAGACTTAACATTCTCTACAAATCATTAAGACTTTCAAATGTATTTAGGATTCTACTGCTCAAGCTAGGAAACAATAAGAGAGTGAGTGACCCTAATTTTCAAAGGAAGGCCGGCTGAGTCCTCAGTAATAAAAAACCTATAGAGCTTCATCCCTTCCTACCTTTGGCCTCTCTGGATTACACACTTTAAAAAATACCAAAAGTTTGTGTAAAATAATTAACACGAATATGTACTATTGTCTTCAGTTGTTCTGTCTGCTCAGTTCACCTTACACACTTGTGTTGGTGGTTTTTATTGTTTATTGCTTTTAAATATTTTTAAGAACAGTTCAAGATCTGTCCTTTATTCCCCGCTTCTAAGCCAAGAAACTACAACAGCCCATGGAGCCTACATAAAAACAAAAAGACAAACTTAAGAAAAGTAAATTGTTCTTCAGGAAATAGCCAAATTCAATGCGATCAATTGCAGTGATGTGACACACAAAGGAATCTACTTTTGAGGAAAAAGCGTTACTCTGAAGTAAGCTAGCCGTATCTGTTAGCATTACATCATTGTCCTAACAGACGCAAAATTATAAATGTAGCCAAGAGAGTTTTTTCTCCTCCCATAGAGCAATGAATTTTTCCCACGTAGATATTTTCACCACTCATCTTCACTATGTTGTCATTCCATTTCTGAAGCTTGCTATGCTTAACTCGTTCTAAAAACAGCTCCATTATTGTCAGTGAAAACTGATGATGCCTTAGAACAATGCCAGTCTAGGCTGAAACTACAGGAGACAGCATAGGAATGTAACACATCACTTCTTGTTACAACATTTGAATTGCTTTTTCTGGGGAAAAAAAAAAGGGAAAAAAAAGTGTCCACATAGTTAATTCGTACCTGTTTTTCATATATCTTTCTTACTTTTCTACCAGTATTATTCCATACCAAATGTCTCATTCAGAAGCAGTAAAAAAAAGTTTGCACAACTGAGCAGAGTAGAACACTAACTCTTATGTCACTGTATATTCCTATTTCTCTACAAACAAGGAGACATCAAACTTTCAAAACTCAAGCTGCAAACCTTTTTCCCCAAGTGAAACACCCTTTATTTTCAACTTTTAACATGAGAAATACAATATTTAGTGCTTCCAGGAAATTGAATGGCTTTTACACAATAACACCATTGTTTCAAACTTCTCATTTGGTATACTACTTCTACTTTCATCATTCATATCAATCTAATCTCTTTGTATTCAACAGAATCCTCACAGATATTTATATCTGAGAAAGCAGAGGAAAAAAAAATAGTTCTTCATGAAAGGACTAAGCACTCGCCTTTTTTGAGAAAATGTAGCTTAAAAAAAAAAAAAAAGGTCAAATGCCTTAGAAAAAAAATCCAGATTATTCTGCCATTTTCATGTAGCTTGGAAAATACTTCAAGGAGAAAAATTTGCAAAATTAACTAGTTTTTTTTTTTTTTTTTAAGCACAATAATGGACTGATGTTATAAAGAAGATCATTATATCTTTCTCAGACGGCATTTTCTGGTTAGAAAATGTGTAGAGATTTAGTCAAATAAAACAAGTGGATGAAATTTCAGTAGCAGTTGGCTTTACTGTGAGACAGCAATTTAGAACAATGGGCTGCCTGTCAACTCCTGCCACTCAGATGGCTTTAGAAAGTGCCCAGTGCCACCTATTATGAAGGCACCTGAAGGCGATCTTTAACAGCATGTATCAGGGAACGGAAATCAGGCAGTTACTTTAGCTGTGATGCACCAGCTGTTAATATATATAATCTAACCCTAACAAATTCATAGTCTGAAGGATATTCTGTGCTTGTTGTCCCTGTTACGTCTGCTAAACTCTAGCTAAGCTTCTAAGTTGCAGTACAACTTGTAAGAGCAGCCCAAAGGTCCTCCTGTGCAATCCCATTCACCATCACTATTTGTCATGTCCAAACATTAGCCTGAAACAAATGAGGATCAGATCTGCAAGATAGCATTAAGATGAATGTACTACCATGACAGCTGAAGACAGTGGCCATTAAATCCTTTTCTGCTGGGCATTGTCCAGGAGATACTTTTTTTAAAAAAAGCAACATAGATGACTAGTCTTTTTTTTTTTTTCTTTTTTTTTTTTTTCCCCCCCAGGAATGAAGGAAGGATGCAGCTGGAATCTCACTACCAAACTTGCTACAATCCAGGAACATCAGTGCATTGGTGCCCCTTTCTGAATAACCCACAGGTACCTCCCATGCTTAGGAACAGGCTACTGACATTACAGCCTATGTTAACTGTGTCTGATATACCACCCTCTCAATGATAAACTCAGAATTTTTGAGTATGTTCCCTGAATTTGAGGTTTTGTTCCAAAAGGGAACTTCTAAGAGCGTCCAGGAAGCTGGTCATGTTCAGAGAACACTGCCAAAAGACAGGACTTATTCAGTGTTGATTCTGAATTGGTGAATGGCATACATAGCTGTAAATGCACAAAAGAGCATGTGGATATAAGGAAACGTGTACAGACGTGCGTATAAGGAAACGAGAACAACATGTACATTTTAGAAAGTTCTCAATATAATATGCAAACATGGAACTTGTACAGTCAGCAAACGTACAATGCAGCTAGGATGGTACTTTACAGGTGTCATAGTTGGAAAGATTATCATGGTGGGAAAGAGATAATCAAGGAAGAAATGCACACCCATATCTAAGGATATAGGCTCACAGTGGAAAACTCTACAAAGAAGGGATCTCCAGAAAGAGACCCTTCCCCTGTGGCAGTCAGCCCTTAAATGGGGTCCAGGAGAGGTGCAGCCAGGCTCCACCCCTTCCAGTCAGCAGGTGAATTGCCTTCACCTGTGCTCCCAGGGCTGACCCAGTCCTTGCCTCAGGTGATCAATCAGTGGTTCAGGCCGTGACTCAACAGTTCCCATACAGAACTCTAACCGTAACAGGCGTATCATTAAGGGTTAAAATGAAGCATACCTACAAAATATAACTTAATTAAACACTGTATCAAAGTATGATGATTAACACATTTTGAACTAGTATTAAATAGAAACCTTGAATGTCAACTCTTTCAACAACTATTCACACTCCACAAATTGAAATTAGCCAGACTTATCAACTGTTCTACTCGGAAACAGACCTTCAAATACTCCTTATCAGCTACAGAAAGATTTATGTAGACAACTGCCACAGCAACTGCTCATTTCTCTCTTCACTATGTATGAAGAAGGAATGACACACTAAAAAAAAACCAACAACAACAAAAAATACAAAAAATACAAAAAACAAAAAACAACAAAACACCACAAAGCAAAACAAACAAACAAACAAACCCCATACAACTACACAACCTCAAACGTACAAGTCGGAGAAGTACTGAATTAGGAAAAAGAAGTGTTCCTATACTTTTTTTTTTTTTTGCCAGCACTGTTACAGTTCAGATGCCTAGAGTTCAATCATTGGAAAAGCAACTCTATACAGTATAAAATATACTTGTAATGGCTAAATAGGGAATGTTTCTTTTCTGCATTTTCACTGGGAAAAAAGCCACCACCACAATACAATTTATGTAATGAGGTGTTTATTTGAACTCCGTGTATAAATTATATCAGCACAACATGGAAATAGCATTCTTAATATTTATATACTCTGTCCTAATTCTATTGCCAAACGGAATTGCCAAATTCTGAAAAATGAGAATTTGGCAAAATTAGAACAATCTTCTCTGTCTGCTTACATTTAATTATTGCAAGTAACAAAGTATAAACTCCAGAAAAACCTTTTATCGTCCAAAATGATCGCAGCCCTAAGATGAAGAAGGTTTTATCATCTACAATTAAATAAAACTGATGAAGAGAACAATTTGAATAACTGCATTCACCAGTGGCATTTGCTGTGACATCAATGTACATATCTTACATATTTTGTTAGAAGAGACAAAAATCACCTAGCAACTTAGCTTTTTCTGAACATGAAAGAACAATTCTTAATGCCTGTTTCTCTAACGTCACAGAAAAGCTTTTTACAGCACAGTATCAACGGATATAATTGTCTTACCTGCAGTCCAACATTGTCTGCTTGTCCTCCTTTAACTAACTGGGAAATAAAGAGGCCACAGCTAAATTCCGCTCCACCTCTCACACTTATTCCCAGTCCTTCAGGGTGCAAACGATCCAATCTCACTTCCTTCAGTTTTCTGAAACAGGATAAGATACCTAACTGCCCAGCTGCATAACATTTCCTAGTAACAGCATTTCATATGAAAGCTATGTATTATTTTCCTCTTAGAGCATTCAGATATGAAAAAAGAACAAGTTGACTAAAACTTCGATGGATGTCTATTTATTAAAACCACAAAGTAGTTCCCGTAAGAAAAATCACTGCAATCACTGAAGCTGTCAGTGCTCCTAGGGTGTTAGAGCAATAAGATTTTTTGTTTCTATTAAATGCAGGAAAAATGAGAAAAGTTTATTTCAAAAGAGAAGCATTGTTTTTGGACTCCCACACCCTACTTTTACTAGATTAAGCTACTTTGCAAAAAGTTTCAGGTAGTTCAAGTTTTTCTACAAAACAAAGCAAAGTTTAAAAGCGCCTGTGTGCCCAGCTCTGCATAGATAAACTCCAAGTAAAATACTTGCTGTCTTAAAACTCAGTCAATATTTCTTGTTTGTATTTATCTGGAGTTAGCTACATTGTTCTGCATTTCTCTTACCTTGATCTTTTGGGGGTAAGCTGATCGTACTCCACCTGGTGTTTTAATGGAATAAGTGGGCGGATAGCATCAAACAGAGGCAGCCTGCTTGGTTCATTAATTACGAGTTTTAGGTCACCCACAAGCACTGGAAGGTTCATAGATCTACAAAAACACAGCGAGAAAAGAGGTAGGGGTCATCAACACAAAGCACTATTAAATAACTTGCTGTTGATGTGGCTTCAATATTGGTGTGTCCTTGCAACTAAGAAAGTTATTTATACAAGTCTTCATTTAACCAAACCAAAATACCTCTGGAAAAGTAAACTTTCTATAAGCAAACAGAAAGAATACCTCCTTCAAAATGACTGACATCTCTTATCCATTGTCTTTATCATTTAAGGTCACATACATAACTTCTATCAATGAGATCTGTAATTAAACAAAGCTCCTAAAAGAAAACTTATACAACATCCACTTAAACTTAGTCTATAGTAGTACCAGCTGTTCCCTTTCTTATAGTTTACATTTCCTGGCATAAGATATTTTCCAGGCATTTGCACTGAAAATACAAACCAGGAATGTATGTTACACAGCTTTCATTTTGAAGTGCTTTTCACAAAGAAGAAATGTAAAAATGTGTTTTGTCCAACAGTGATTGCGTGTAATTTTTCCTTGGAATACTCCATAAAGGGTTTTTTAAAAATTGGTACTTCATCAATATATGTTCATAGAGATATGGAATTTCTGCTTAAGCTATTGCCATTTTGGGAACCGAGGAACAGTTATACTATACACGTTGTTAGTTCTATAACTGGAAGAAGATTTTAAATAATTAAGAGATACTGATTCAACCTGCTTTCCAAACAACAGGCTTTATGAAAGGAGAAGCAATTAGGCAGACCTGAGTGAAACTGAATCAGATATGCAGCTGAATACACCAAAAGCTATAGCTTCGTACAAACATCTGATCGAAACGTCTGCATTTCACTCAGCTTAGATGCTATTAAGGTATGAATGGAAACGATGTCTATCAGTGCCACTCGTCTATGATGAGTGGAAAATACTTTCTAATCCTCTTTGAGAAACAATGTATGAGATGCTGATCTCATCTGCAGTGACACAGGTCCAAAGAAACTGTGGTTTAAATCAGTTCAGCAAAAGAACTAGTGACCAGCCTATCACCTTACAGTTTCTTTCCATTATATCATAATAACTCAGAGTTAAACAAGCCAGAGTCCCACCCTAAGTTTTCAGCTTTTGGGTAAAGCAGTTGAAAGTAAGTCTTATCCTAAGTAGTAAGCAAAAATCTTTACTCAACAAAAACCTCTGCTATAAAGAAATAAGCATCACTGGGAAATAATTAATTTGATAAACATTCTCTTCCTGTCTCTGAAGAACTGTTCTATCATTCAGATGCTTCACTCCCACAGTCCACCCCTAATCAACCAAATTCATTTCCAAAACAGCCAAGTCATTACGTCAAAATAACTTTATGAGCGACAAAGAAATGCCCCCTTAATGTCTGCAGGCCAAATTGTAGAAGCATAATATTTCATTAAAAAGCACAAAAAAATACTACTTCTGCTGTAACTTCCTGAAAGAGCACTTAAAGTCTTGACTCCCAAAACATTCTCAGTATTCTACACAAACATATATAAAGCTACTTACTGGTGGTACATCCGCAGCACATCATAAAGGTAATCCTTCTCCGCTTCATTGTCAATTAGCAGATTAACCTAAAAAGCCAAGGACGTTACTGTAGATCTGATTAAACAGCCACAAACGTCATATGTACAAATCTTCAACAAATTCTTACGTCACAGATCAAAGACTTTAGCAGGGAATGGGTTTTTATTTTTTCTAAATAAAAAAAATATATAAATAAGAAGTTTTTCTAACAAAGTATCCTTCAAAAAATGAAATTGACAAGACTTCTTTTAATTTATTATTGCAGCAATTGGACAAAATAGTAAATATTGAAGTCCTCTTGGCCGTGCAATACCTCTAAAATAACAGAATATCAGTCTTACCTGATAATCGCTGTACTGTTGAATAAATGTTTTCAGAAACCTTTTTGGCCATTCGTTAATATAGCACATGCTGTCACAGATAAAAACATTCCTCTGAGATAATTACAATCTATGTTCTGTGGTTCCAATCCACTGATTTCAGGCAGTACCTCATTTGTAACATTACGTAAACAGCTGCACTACCTTTCCTCTCAGCTACAGTTCTTAACTGGTAGAACTTGCCAGTTATTCTTTCCTCCCCCTGTAATAGTACGTTTAGTTAAACCAGTGTCACATTACAGTGCCTGTTCTCAAATGCTTACAGGAAAATAAAGATATATATAGATATAAATATATCAACAACAACAAATAGAATTCTTATATGAGGAATTCAACTTACACTCTGTGATGCTGGTGAGACCTTCCAGTAAGAGGTCACAGCGCAGCAGCTTCACATTTAGACAAGCTCAATATTTAAGAAAAGAATTTACATTTGACCTAAAGGCTAATATTACTGTGAGGTGTAGACTGAGGACCAATTTGCATAGCTAAACAAAGGCCCTTGCTTTCTAAGTTTGCAATGCTTTATATTATATTCTAAACTAAATACATGCTTCACATTCCATTTGTCCCTTTTAGCAATTTACCTAGGGCCATCAATAACTTCTATCAGCTGACTCCAGCTTCATAAATCTGTTAAAGATCATGCCTCCACGTTTAAGAAAAGAGGAAATCAACGGTGACATAACTTGGACAAGTGAAATATTCTAGTATCTCTTTTTTTCAATAAAAGTTAATTTTGAAGGCATGGGATAGGTGATTCCACAGCTTTCAAGCCAAGAAGCGTCCATTCTACTTGTTTTTCTTATATGAAACTCCTATAAAACATCTGTTGATTTGTGCTCCAGGACCATAGCTTCTGGTTCAACTCCACTGTCCCTTTTGGAAATTAACAGACATTAAAAGATTCTAAGAGTTCACCCAATGTATTTCTGTGTCGGAGAGACAATAGACAAAGTTTATTTTCACACATGAAAAGTTACTTTGCACGATGAGCGTAGAGCATCTCATACTCAGTGTTACACATGTATACATGCATGGACAAGGTAAACTTGTCTACAAAGACACCAACCATGGCCAAGACATGTCTGTACCTACTAACCTTGTCAAAGATATACTTCTAATCTTTCTTCAGTGCAACAGATTTTTGCAACTTCCAACTTCTCCATGTTTTTTTATTGTGTTCTGTCAAAGCAGTGCTATCACAAGACTCACAGCATACTAGCAGCTTTATAAAAAACAAAGAAGCATTCAACAGACATCTATCCGAAAAGAGGTAACACCTGAGATTAAAACAGAAAGTGCAACTGATGTAAACTCTCTTAACTGTAAGAGCAGACCAACTTGAAGAAAGTAGTTACCACAAAGTTCTCTCACTAGCTGAAGAAATGTTTTGCTGTTGGCAATCACAAAACACAGAGCTGGCTGCTGCTGACTAATCATGTCTACTAATTTCTTTTACTATCTGTAAAATTGTTACGAGCTTTGCCTTCAAGCATGCTTTTCATCAGAAAACTGATATAGAGAAAGATTCTGCAGGTAGAAGTGAGTATTTAGAAATGGATTTACTGATTCAGTTTCCGGAATGAGCTTCAATATACGGCACCATTTAACTTGAAACACAAGACTGCAAAGCGAACTGTGTAACATCTGCTGCCCTTTTAAAACACTGCAGAATCAACTTAAAAGTAAATCAGTTCTCAGGAGCCTTAATAAAGTGAAAATACATTTTTACTGTTTAAAATAAGCACTTTTTGGTGTGAAACAGGTTCGTACTACAGTGATGGGGCTGTTGCAGCAGCAGCGTGTCAGTCAGCTTTTGCAGAACAATATCAAGCTCCATGTGAGTTTTGAGGCCTTGGAAAGCTAATAAGGAAAACTGAAAAGCGGGCCAATAGGTTTACGTATATAACTTGTATTAGTGCTTCATCAGTGGGGAGAATTGATTGAAATTACTGAGGACAAAAAATGAAACGAAAGAGACAAATATCTGAGTGGTAGATAACTGGTCATTTTCCTCGTTTTGACCAAGGAAAAAAAACAGTCAAGACATCGAAATCCCCACAGAGGCCACTTCAGCATGATTATACAAACCAACCTAAAGAAGTGTTCCAGTATCGTCTTACTCAGAGGAAGAACTTTCACTTAGGCATGAACCCTACGTACTTGCACCAACACATGCTGACAATAAGCCTTTCTTACTCGATCGGGGTGGGACTGGGGTAGTTTATGAATAATTGCAGCAGCAGTTAAAGGGAAGAGGTGGAAGAGGGTTTAAAGTTCAGAATGGCAGCCATCCGCCTAGCAACCTGAGCCCTTACAGATACCTTGCACAACCCACTGCTGGGTTACACAGTAATAGATATCAAAACTGAAAGTACTTGCTGCACAGCTGCAGCCATCATTATTCAGTATCCAGGTTCTCAAAGTCTTTGGAATTCATTTCGTTGTTTTTTTGTTTTGTTTTGGTTTGTTTTTGTTTTTTTTTTTTTACAGCCCCTCTACTTCATTCTAACATTTCCTTGTTAACAACTTCATTACCAGATGATATTTCTACAAAACACTTCTTCTCTTTTCAGGAGTTATCTCAAAGAAACTCCTCATCCGAGGAAAGCAAACAAACAAAGCCAGCACTCACTGTTATGAAAAACAAAATCCTAAACATGTAAATCACTTTTCTCCTCGTTTCCTTTTGCGCTTATTCCAGTCATGCGCTTTCGATCTCTGCCAAAGGCTTACTTGATGGTACATGATACAAGATGTGCCAGGCAGAGGGAGCCGCTCCATGCATCAAGCGCCTTTGCACATGGCTGCACACACACAATTGCACTCCCAAGCATTAAGGAGGAACTGAACTCCTGCACAGAAGCTGCCTGCAGAACCGTGGGCCTGGACTTCAACACCTGCACCTTTGCCTTCCACAAACCACGCTGGGCGCTACACTTTCGATATGATTTTATTAAAATAATACAACACCCACTGTATCAACGCTCATGCTTCAAAGAATGGTTTTTGCTGGTGGTGGTTTTGTTTGTTCGCTTACTTGTTCGCGGTTTGATTGTTTGTTTTTCTCCTCCCTCCCACTTCAGGGACCCTCTCACAGCAGGCTCACCCTGCCACTCCTGTCACCCGACCCACGGGCGGCGCACAGCCCAGAGCCGTGCCCCAGCGCGGCGCTTCGCTTCGTTTCCCCCATCCCGAGGTGAGCAGCCGTGCCCCGAGCTTTCCCTACCTTGTGCCGGAACTCGCGGGCGACCCGGCGCTCCATGCTGCGCTGCTACGCTGCGCGGAGCGGCTGCGCCTTCGAGGCCGCGCCCCGGCGGGGTGGGAGGTGCGCCCGCCACCGCCTCCAGCAGTCCCGGCTGTCGGTACCAGCCGCTGTAAGCGGGTACCTGAGTGCGAACCGACGGGATGGCTGCTTAAGGGCAAATCGAAAGAAAGACAACAGGAGATAAGAGAAAAAAAGTCACCCCTTTCTGCAGGCTGTTCCCTCAGCTCGCACCGACCTGTTGGCTGCGGGATGAATTTACAGCCTGCTCTCACGCAGCAGGAGCTGACGCCCAGCCTTCTCCCTGGTCCTGGTTGGCAGGTGTGCCTCTAGCTCTGCTTTATACACAAACTGCAAGATATAAAATGTATAGCATGCTAACACCCGGTGGAAGGCGAATTTGTTTCAGTGAATTATTCTACTGAAATATATCTAATATATATTTAGGTAAGCTGTGTGATTGTGTTGTACCGTAGTTGGGTGTTCAAGTCTGACTTCATTGCCAACAGGCTTTCCTATGAAAGTAAACACCACTGCTTACATCGGTAGCATGAAGCGCCTACAATGAGTGACTGGATAGGAATCAAGCTCAAAGCACCTGAAAGGGAAGCTCTTTCACACTAATCTCTTGTAGGTCATTTTGTCCTGGGCTCCTGCTCCTCCTACCTTCCCTGATCTAGTAGCTGATAATAAAGACTTCTACAATGAAGGCTAGCAGAAGTGCAGGGGAGCAGCTGCCCCATGTCCTTGAGCCTCACAGCAGAATGAGCTTTACCTCCCTAGCTCCGTAGGGAATGTTACTTAAGCACTGGAAGCTCCCCTGACTGTGGGAACCTGTCGGGATGTATAGAAAGGCATGATAAAAAAAATTAAAAAATCCAAGCAGCCAAATACAAACCATATAACAAATACATTATCTGTGTTAAGTGACACCAGCTCCCTTGGAAATTGCTCCTGCCCCTTTTTGCTGTGTAGGCACATTTCAGTGGTAGGTCCGCTGCCTGCTTTGCACATAGGTGTCAGGAACAAGAAGGAGGAATGCACTGCCAACCTGTGTACAAACACAGAGAGCTTTCAGAAAACAAACTTCTCTTAGTAGCACAACAAATAGACAAATCACTTGTCTTCTGCCCACGGTAAGCTGCAATACCACACCATGCTGAAAAGTTGTTCTAACGGAGCATTTTACACATTGTGAAATAATTTCATCCCTGCGTAAGTAAAATAAAATTGTTTTGTATTTGCCAACAGTAGGAAGGAGATGCACAACTTTAAAGGACATTCCTTACTTTGTACGCGTCCTTCAGTTTTACATTGAACTCTATGTCAGTGATGTCTGTCAATCACTACAAGAGGACTTCACAGAAATGGATCTTTTGTCAGCTGAGATTATGTGTATTAGAAAGAAATTGACTTTTTAACTCTAACTTTCAGCTGATGAAAGAATAATTTCTGTAAAATCCCTGCTTCAAACAGTGAGCTTAATAATCAGAAAATTTGTGACATGGTTCTGAATCATTCATTACTTCAAATAGGCCAGATTAAAAGATGGTATAATTTTGACTGCTTATTAGTTTTGGTAATGAAATCTTTCATGTTGGGAAATCAAATTATGCCTAGATCAGCTTTAAGCTCATTCCAGTTATTATTTTTACATGTGGCATTAAGGAAAGATGAATAAAATGGTCAAGCCCATTTGCAAAGCAAAGAAATGAATTAAAATGTTTGTTGCTCAAACATTTTTTTGCAATGTTTTTTGCACTTTTGTTGCACAAACATGCTTTTGATGAACTCTCTCCACTTCCATTAACACGGTCAGGAACAGAGAAAGCACACCAAAGCCAGGTGTGTGGTGTGCCCAGAGGAGCAGGGCTCTGCGCCGTGGGCAGAAAACAACTGCAAAACTCTGTTTGAGGTTATTTAGAAAAGGATCTTTTCTGTCTCCTCTTTTCATCTCTCATACACATTCTTCCTCTAACTTTTACAGGAGAGAACAGAATCCTCGGTGAAAACATCGCTGGTTTTCCATCATTTCATTAGAAATGAAACACTTGTTGCAACAAGAAATACAATCCTCAGGGACAAATTACAAAGGCAGAAAAGAGACCTTTTTAATGACTTTCTGTTAACAGACTTCCCAAAGCAGGCAGAGAAGGCCCCTTTTCATTCAAGGCAGTTTCTCACCCGGTGTGGGCAGTTTCTAAAGCTGCTGTCATAGGATATGTGCACCTGCAAAATGACTGGGGGAAACGCAGCAGCAGATGGGAGAGGGAAAAGCACAGAAAATAATAATAATTAAAAAAAAGGCAACAGGGAGAAAGAGGGGAAAGGGGGAAAAAAAAGAGGGTAGGGAAGGTAGAAAGAGCAGAAAAGAAAAGAAAAGAAAGCTCTAAATTCAAGACTGAGTGTGCAGCTGTGAGAAGCTGCAGAAAAAATCACTAAACATCAGCTGCACACCGCATTCTGCACCAGCACGTCTGCTGTGGTTAACAGAGTTCTGTCGGTCACTCCAGCAAGCAGCCTCGAGCCTTCAGCTCACAAGGCACTGACAACCGCTGTGCCAGCAGCCGGTGTCGGGAGCCGTGCGTAGCCAGCAGCAGTAGGGCAAGACCCAGCAGCATGGGCGTTATAGCATAGAGCTCAGATACGCAACCCCATCGCTGTACAGGAAATGCGGGCAGCGGAGGCGCTGCGCGTGCCCCTCACTTGTAGCAGATGCAGGGCTGCACGATGAGGGGTGGTGGCTCGGGGAAGGGCCGGGGCGAAGGGCGGGAGGCCACTTATACCCCCCGGCCGCTGCGCCTGGGAGGGCGGAGTGAGCTTAAGTAGCGGTCGGTGTGAGGGGCTGTTGTTTCTCAGGACATCACTGCCCGTCCGTATGGAGGCCAGGCTGCTCCTCGGGGCGCTGCTGTGCGCCGGGCTGCCGCCGGGTGAGCTCCTAACTCGGGTTAGCGTAGTATAGCGCGGTCTGACTGCCGTTAACCCGGTGCTTTTGCTTTGCAGCTTGGTCTCCACGAGGTGCCAGCGCGAAGACTCCCGCTGGTGACGGCTTCCCCATCCACAGGTAAGAGCAGCCGGGGTGGAGCGGGGCTCCTGAGAGATGGGCTGCCCGAGCCGACCAAACCCTGCCGTGTTCTGCCCGCAGCCCAAGCAGCGCCGCGGGACCTTGGAGAGAGGACGGCCTTGGTGCGGCCATGCAGGTAGGAAGAGCGGGAGAGAGTGGGGGGTCTGCGCTCAGCCCTTTGGACCATGGGGTGGTGTCTTACGAAGCGTGAATGGGGCAGCGGTGGGTCCTTCGTGACACGAGGTGATGCCTCGTCCTGCCTGTCTGGTGGAGGTATGAGGCAGGGCTACTGTGGGGTCACGGTTTTAGGCACGGGTAACACCAGGTGCTTGGGGACTGAGGCTCCCCCCAGGGGGTCACTATACAGGAATAAGCTTCATTTCCTTCTGTGGTGGCTTCCGGGGCTATTAATACTTCTTCTGTAAGAAATATGTGCAGGAGAAATGGGAAAAAAATACATGCGTTTCTTTTCTTAATCAAGAATATGAGGTAGAACAAACCATTTTTACATGTTCTCTCTTTTAATAAGCTGTCTTAAAAGAAAGAGATACAGCAATGCTAAGGTTGTTCTTACACTCTCTGCAGGGTTTATGTTCACGGAGACATAGCTCTTAATGTCAGTTTTCAGTCAGATGTGTCAATAGATATGTAGGGCATGGAAAGCACTTGCTGTTTTACAAATACTTTATAGAAACCTTCACAGGACTGAGAAAACCAAATAAACATGATAGGTATGATTGCATCCTTAGCTAAAACCCCATAGATGCTGCTGTTGGTGTTCCTGGTGGGATTTGGGCATGTTTATTGCTATTTCTATCGCTTTGTGCACAATAAGAGGTAGATAATATGTTATCCTATTTTACTGAGTAACATGTTTATTATTGAATTTACTTTGATGAAATCTGTACTTTATTTCAGTGGCATAGTAGCTACTTATATAACCACTGTAATGATGCAGCTGCAGTTCTTCAATCTTCAAAATTCCACGGTGGAATAGATGAAGACTTGAAATAGGAATGGCTATAGTGTTTGTTTTACTGTAGTAAATAAGCTATATAAATGAAAGTAAATGCATTTATAATAAGGGAGAAACTTATGATGACAAGTTTTAGGCTTCTGAGGATAGAAATGTCTACATTGACTTGAGAAACATGTTAGTTGCCTTGGATGCAGGCTATGGTAGAACAAAGGTAGGTTATTGTGAAGATAAGGGATGTGTTTTTAACATAGTCATGCTAATTATTCTAAGCTGTAGCTAATTGTTATTCTGTGAATTACATGATAGTCTAGAGGCAGTTAAGAGTTGATGGGGAGGATAGGAGTATAGGATAGGGTACACAAGAAAGTATGCAGATGTGAGTTTTGGGTATTTTAGTTAACAGGCTGAAAATCTATTTGCTCTCTTTGTGCCTATTTTGCCTATCCTGTGCCTACTGATAGTAGCTTACTGGAGTCATGGGAGTAATTATACATTTTAATATGCAGTAATGGTTTTTTGGTAAATTTTCAGTAAATTAAATATGAAGAGTGAGGTTTATAAAATTGGTAAATTTGTGGAGAGATTGGGAAGAGTTTTTGCCACTCTTGGCTTTAGCAGCTTAAATAGCTTTCTTCTTCCTTAAAGGAGTCTGGAATGACAGTTCATAATGCTTCAGCTACTGCAGTATCGTTGCCTCAGAACAGAAGACTTCACAGTATGAAATGTGGACCATCCAGTAAGTTGAACTTTTTACATGGAAATAACTTCGTTTGTCTCTGATATTCTGCACAATTTAATTATTGCTATGAAGGAAAAAAGTTGAATAATACAAACCTGTTAATAATAATAATTAACATGTAAGTTGGTGCTAAAAATTATGCTGAGAAAATTTATTACTGCTGTGATTGTAATGCAGAATTTAGTTCACTGTGTTTGTTGCTAAGTGAATTTTTTTAATGGCACAAATGAATTTTGTGTTCTGCTTCAGAGAAAGCGACTGAAAGGGTTAAGAGTCATGGTCCTACTTGAATGGAAATA